AATGGTCTTCCCCCTTTCAATGGGCACACCTCTCAGAGGGAAACAAACTGACATACTCAAGTTTACTGTGGGATCACTCCTCACCCAGGCCTTGACTCTCAACTTCCTATCTGACAGCATTCACTGCTGAGAGGGCCTGTACAGTCTCACCCCTACATTTCTGATCTTCCTGTAGAACCTAACCTGCCTTTACCTCAACACATGACTGCATTGGTCGGTATACCAGCTTCAAATCCTACTAACAAATATGCCTCTACCTCTCCCCTTTACTGCAACAGGAAGCGAAGCCGGGTAATGCTCCCGATCCTAACAGTTTCAAGTTTATGTATTTATGAACGGATATTCCGGGTAGATTGTGAGGGCCCCGGCCTCAATCATGCTTTATAAGGGACGTTGGGCCCGGTTCCCAACACGTGCTGCTCCCCACGAATAGAATGGAGCAAGGAGTTTGATGTAAAAAAAAAAAAAAAAAAAGAGGGTGCGTTGTGTTCTGGGGAAGACGGTAGTGGGTCCTGGCCCCTGGAGTACAATCCTTCGTCGGTAGACATACGGGCCTCGTTGCACGACTCGTTATCCGCCAACATCTTGAACGCATCTGGCCATCCTTTGTGTCCGCATGCGTTCACAATCTTGGCGGATGGCGAGTAGTGCGACGAGGCCCAGAGCCCACCCAATCCGTGGTGATGACCTTATGGATGGACGATCTGACGTCGGTTCTGATCCCCCTGGGAATTGGATTAAGCGCCGGAATCTGGATGGGTTTCCAGCAAAGATGCAGAAAAGCAAATCAATGGCGATTTTCTGCACCTTTCGACAAGCAAAACGGATTCGGGCCCCTGGACCGGAGGGGAGGCACAGTGACTGGCCCATCGGAGAAGCTCGGTCCTGATGCTACCGGCTGACCCCTGGCCGGCATCGCCCACCTGCTGTAGCAGGTATAGCACCTGCTGGTGGGTGCAGCTCCCGCATGTTCCCTCGTTGGAGGCTTGAGCACGGATGTGGCTGCTACGGGGTTCCCCGTAATACTATAATGACAAAAAAAAAAAGGCCTGAAAGGCCGTCCTGTCCAGATTTGACAGGTAAATGAATTGGTTGGGCTTAAACAATTAGCCTTTATTACAAAAAAAAAAAAAAAAAAAATTGTAACTCCGAATAACGTTGTTATTTTTTGCCAAGGCGATTTAAAAAAACAAAAAAACAAAAAAAAACAAGGCATATCGCAACGAAGCACAAGTTCTCTTGGTGGGCACCGGCCCGGTTTTGGAGTAAATAAAAAAAAAAAGAAAAAAAAAAGAAAAAAGAAAAAAGAAGCACAAGTTCTTCTTTCATATTTCACGACCTACCTACCACTACTCCTAAGGCTATACAGGGTACCCTATACAGGGGACCCCTGCAAGCATCACAAGTCTCATGGAAAACAAGACGAAAACAGGACAGATCACAGTACCGTCTTCACCCGGATAGAACGCCCGGTCATTATAGCTGCATTTGGCCCAGCTTGCAGTTCACATGCAGCGATAATGACTGGGCGTTCTATTCGGGTGAAGACGGTAGTGCGTTGTCGATTGAGATCTGGACGTGATTGCGGTCAGATGCATCCAAGTCGCGCCGTAATGGCGGGCAGATTGACTAAGGATACGGGAGTGTGAGTACGAAAGCAGTCCGCGGAGCCCATCATGCCCCGCAGATTTGAGCGTATTCAGCAGTCCACACTCTTCCCCCGGAACACAGGCCACACTCTTCCCGCGGAACACAGGCCACACTCTTCCCCCGGAACACAGCGGACCCGCTTCGCGACTATCGTACGTGAAGAAATAGCTATGGAAAAAGAATAACTTCTATAGACTGATGAAAAATAGATATGGAAAAGAATAGCTTGTATAGACTGATGAAAAATAGCTATGGAAAGAATAGCTTGTATAGACTGATGACAAATAGCTATGGAAAAGAATAGCTTGCATAGAGTGATGATCGGGTTTTGTTGCGTTCAAGGGCAGACGGTACTATCTTCGGACTGTTTCATAGACGAACACGCGGTCTAGAAACGTCCAGGAACGGCTGTAACCTTGCGCACCCTCATCGCGGCTATCGTACATGAAAAATAGCTATGGAAAAAAAAAACAACTTGTACAGATTGAGGGGAGTTCCTGCCAGCACCAGTTGTATGTATATGGGACGCTGGGCCCGTTTCCCAGCAGGTGATGCTCCCTACCAATAGATTGAGCCCCTTCCCGGATACTAGGTAGTGGTGTCTGCTCTTACCAGCACCACTAACACTGGCGGTGGTGTTAAAAAAAAAGAAGAAAAAAAAAAAAGCTTGTACAGATGGATGATCGGGGGGTTGTGTGGCGTTCGAGGGGAGATGGCACTACTCTTCGAGTCTTCGGAGAGATCTAGAAACGTCAAGGAACGGCTGGAACCTGTTACTCGACAACTTCATCGACCGATCAGCGTTATATGGCTGACCACCGACCGCTGAAAGGTGAAAGGTGACTGTTATTTGTCTATACTAGGATCCAGCCTCCACAACAACCTGGGCTTTCCAAAAAAAAAAAAAAAAAAAAGGAAGAAAAGCATTATCCGTCTCATCAGAGACAGAAACACAGAACAATACCAATTACTAAACTTGGCCGAGTGAGTGGGGTTCCGCACACACGCCACTCACAATCCCTCCGTCGAGGCAGACCGATGGAAACAGTGATTGGTCCTCGACTCCTCCCTCGCAAGCAAAGACCAGAGCGGCAGACGAAAACGCAATGTCTCTCCTTGGCTGCGGAGAGCAATAAACCTACCTGTGCTTGCACGATCAGGCGATAGCTACAACAGAGCTTGGGAGCCTAAGTGAGTAGGGGGGCTGGAGGCGGCGGGAGGCGGCGGAAGCACGCACAGAGACAGCTAGAAAGCAAACACGCGGATGAGGGCCAGGCTCAGCGGTCACGAACAGACAGGAAACGCATTCATTCTCGCGAGCGTACCATGTCATCCTTCTGCGCAAAACTGGAAATTCAATTTATTACGTGCTTCCTCACAGGACACTCACAGGCGCACACGAACGCACATCCACACACACACACACACACACACGCAGAGAAAGATGGAGAAGAAGGACGCAGACAAGCGGACAATCAGAGAGAGATCAACAGTGCGGGGGAGACGGGAGGGCGAGGCGCGGGGGGCGAAAGAGACCCATGGAGAGAGAAATTACGGCTGTTTGGGGAAGAGAGAGAGAGAGAGAGAGAGAGAGAGAGAGAGAGAGAGAGAGAGAGAGAGAGAGAGAGAGACCTTGGTACAGTAGTAGTCATGCACCATAGTTGAGAGAAGACTGGAGAGAGAGAG